CAGGACACCAGTCTAATCCTTTCCTCCTCTGAACTTCTATAGGAGATTGATCATAGAATTAATTTCTTTCCAATACATAACTTCATGGTATTAATCGTTTATAATTTTAGACCTCCTTATTTTCCTTTTCTTTAGGATTTTAAGGGTATATTACATTTCTTTGTATCTCCCTGAAATCCAACCATAACAGCCAAAGCAAGAGATTTCAGTAGCTGACACCAAAAAGTCCTTCAGCTCTCTTATTTTCTGCTGCTGTTGTTGGTTTTTTTTGTTGTGTTTTGTTGTTTTGTTTTGTTTTGTTTTTGATGTAGAAGAGGCATTCTCCGGTTGCTATTTCCAATATCCTAACAGCAAAGCTCTGGACACACATACTATATTTCACACTTGTTGGTAATGATTTAATGCCACTGATGATAACAAGACTACTGCGGTTAGAGGCAGCAGTGGTCTTGACCTGTAGGAAGGGGACATGTTTCGGGAGAAAAAGATTTGTAAGTAGTTGACCAAATTATACATAATCTTTGGCTTCAGAAGTACAATAGTATTTGAGAGTTTCAGATAACTGGTAAGAGGATAAGTACTCTTAATGTCAAGTTTGGGAATGTATAAATATTGGGTCATACAGTTCCTCAGTCAGTTACAAGCCCCAGTAAGTTAGATAGTAATTGTGATATAAAAACAGTTAGCAAATAATGGGAGTTTGAGAAAACAACAAAAAAAAAGATGGGGCTTTTGACTCAATACAGACAAGAAAAATAGGGAATGAACAGAGAGACTACTCATTAAATGCAGGATGATGTGATAGAATCAAAGTGAGCTGCATATTTTTTTAAAAAACAGCTGCATACTGAGCCCCAGCTGTGGATGAAGTATACAGGGGTACATGCATTTCTTAGATCTGCTTATTTCTTGATTCCATACCACCCTTCCTTTAGCTCTTAGTGGTAAGCACTGCTCTCCACTCTGCCCACAGTCAGCTTCAGTAAAGCTGAGCATCAGAGGGCCCCCTGACCATTGGAGGTGATGCTTACAGACTGTCAGGGAGCGCAGGATCAAGTCTTAGTCCCCTCTTCCCAGGCTCACATGCCAGGAGAATAAGGCTTCCTCAGGTTTAGATAATCTCTAAGGCCTATATTAATCCTATGCACTTTCATGGCAATGGTGGTCCTGGGGAAAAACTGAAAATGGGAATCTTTAGGACAAATCTGATTTTATTATTTTTAGAATTTGAATGCTAGTATAGATTATTCCCTAGTCTACTTCCTCTCCACCCTTTAGAAAATCCTTAGGCCATGAACTAGCTGCCTTCACCACCTTACTAGGACCTTTTACATCCTCACATGGACTGTCTCCTAGGACTCAGGACCTACCCAAGAGAACAGACCAGCATGGTAACTGCCAGCAAGTTTCTGTGAGTTCTTTTTCACAGCATCCGGTGTAGCTGTGTGTTTTTTGCACCCATGTACTTTTAAAAAAGTATCAGGAAACTTGAAAATGCAGCAATTGCTCCTGCCAGAGACATGTCTTTCTGTGTGTCTCTTTAAGTCTCTCTTTCTCTCTTTTTAATAGCTTAGTGCTCTAGTATGTATGACAGCTAGGATATATTTAAAAGAAAATACCTAAGGAATCACTATGTGTTCTAAGTTTCTTTGAGTGCACATGGAATCCTTTGACTACCTTCTACTCTAGCTTGGCCTCTGTAGCTCCAAGACATTGTAGGAGATGATTTGGGAATTGAAGCAGTCTACCGCAATGGTTAGTCATCATCACACATTTAACCTGGTGAGAGAGGTTTTTTGGATTGGTATAGAACAATGATTTTCAAACATGATACGCCACAAACAGTTGTAAAGTATCTCATTAGATGGTTAATAATAATGATGTTTTGAAGTTTGTAAGTGATTTTTTGTTTTTATAAATTAAAAGATTCAGAGTTACCCCTGTAATAACATTACTTGCCCTCACATTTCCTTCTAGTTTCTTGAGTAAGCTAAAAGAAGGGGGAATTTGGAGCCTACATCAAAGACAGCTTGTTTATAGTTGCCTCTTTTTTATGCATTAGCAACTAAATTGAGCAAACACAGCACTTGTCTCCCCTTAGTGATCAAATCCCTTGAATATTAAAGCTTTAAAAAAGGTTAAGAATCACTAAAGACAAAAGAGCAGTATAGCACCGATTAAGACCTAGGTACAGAGTATATGGCTCTGCCTTTTATTTGCATGACTTCGGGCATGTTATCTAACCTGTCTAGGCCAGTTTCCTGATTCATTTTTATGGTAATAGGGTATTTGTGAGGATTAGATGAGATAATAAACATAAAATCGGATTTAGCACAGTACATGGCAAATAATAATTGTTAAGTAATATTATTTGTTCATATCAATAGTACAAGTCAATAGTTCCAGATTACAGAGGCTTTTCCACAAAGACCGTTCCATGAGCTACAAACAACTATGCGTTTTATTTCCTAGCAACACAGATCTCTTTGAGTACCTAGGTAGTAATTTATGCTACCAGAAACTGCTAAATAAACTCTTCAAGAAATCTCCATGCTGCCGTTTGAGGCTCTAAGACCACCTAGACTTTCTCTACTCGTCTCTAAAGTTTAAAGTTTTCGACCCCAGACACAAAAATGTCAGAAAGTTCCTTTACTCTTTGCTAATTATAGACTTAACAGCTTTTCCGCCTCTTTGTTGTTCAGACCCTCCTGGGCTGTGGACACCGTTGTTCGGGTCTTTCTCCCTCTCTCCCACTGTGCTTGCTTTTCTTTCTCTTTACTGCCTTCCTTGCTTTCCCCATAGAGGTCCATACGTTGAAATGCTGGCTAAATTACAACTGCTTCAAATATAGACAGCTAGATTATTTTGTCATGTTTACAATTGCAGCTATTACTTATTTCTCTTTTAATTAAAAGAGCCTTTATTATGTCTCCACATAAAGCTTTTGAAATCACTTCCTGGGATCCCTTCAGGCTCTGGGGTTGTAGAATGGCAGCATATCTCATGCTGGAAGCTCCCCTGCAAAAGAGCTACATCCAATTTGCTCATTGATCAAAAGTTTGCTACTCCCCTGGTTCAGAAAGGGTGGACTGAACAGACCTCGTTGATTTGTAAAGCTGGTGCAGTATTTTCAGATTCCGTTGAGTATGGGGGCATTTGTATATACAGAACAGTTTCTTCTGAGGGCTGTAACCAGATTTTAAAGGCTGCATTATACATTTGTATGTTCAAATGGGATCAAATGTGTGGAGTACATTGCCTTGTGATTTAAAGTCATTGAACCTCTTCCCAAGAAAAATCTCCTCTATCCTAATTACCAAATGTTACATTTCTCTCAGACAAAACAAAGCTCTTGCTGTTGAGGGAGCCACATTGGCCCTGGCAAGATCAAACAAATGTGCTTTCTTAGAGTGAACATGGTAAGGGATTAGACATCACCATGAGCTTGTGTCTAGAAGGGTTCACACACTCTGTGCAGCACTTAGAGTTCCACCCAAGGATTCCAAGGGTCTAAGAGGAGAAGGAAGCTGCTTTACAGTTTCTAAAGCTGACCCCAAACAGCTGAATGTGGCCAGGCCCTACCACTTCTCTAACCAAAGTTTCGAAACCCAGGTATCTTGGGAGCTCCTTGACTGACAAACAGCATCCTCTCCTAGAAGCTGGACGTCAACACAGATGCTCCTGAAGCCTTACTAGTCTGAACACTGGAATTCTCCAATCCTTCCTTCTGTGGAGACATCCCTACTCCATTGCTAAACAAAGATAGAATCACAGTGAAAAAAAAATGTGACAATATATGTATGTTCATGTATAACTGAAAAATTGTGCTCTACACTGGAATTTGACACAACATTGTAAAATGACTATAACTCGATAAAAGAATGTTAAAAAAAAAAAACAAGGATAGAATTAGAGAATTCTGTCTTGCTAGGTATTAGTGGGAGTGGAGCTATAAACGGAGACTAAAGTGGTTTGGCCTCTTTAGACAACAAGATGAGCAGACAGGCCAGCTCCCCTCTAAGCATTAGGGCCAAGTCTCTGTCTGCTTCTTGCTGATAGGGACAGCTAGGCTTAGTGGTAGAAAATAAAATAGGCCTTTTGCCTGTCCTGGCTTAGGTAAAGGAATTTTCCATAGATTCATAGTTAACTAAAGTTTTGTATTGAGTTTTGGGGGCCAACCCCAGCTAGTAGTAAAATCTTACTTTGCCTTTTATTTTCTTTGCATATTTTTTACTTAGAGACCTTGCAAGAGGAGTGAGTAGTCAAAGCAATATTTGGAAATTACTAGATATCTAGGGTCTTCTTGACAAAACACCATATTAATCCCATTTTAACATCCCATAAACCATGATTAAATTCATCATGTTTAGGTTCAGAGAGGCCCTTGCTAGAAAGTCTTCATTCATTCTACTTAAAATCCTACTTTTTAGAAGTTCAATATTACCTCCCTAAGATAGTGATTGGCAAAATGTAATCAAAAGATTAGAAGCTAAACTCCTTTATGTAATACATTATTCATTCACTGTCATCTTGCCCAGAGTTGGCTATTTAATGATATGACAAGGTCAGCAGGGACTCCTAGGACCTATTTTCATGGTATACACTTTAAATGGAGTTAATAACATCCATCATCTCCAGACCTATCAGGAAGGGTTGAGTCTCCACTCCTCTTAAGAAATTTTCAAGAACCTGCCCCTACCTTTTTCTGACAGCTTCAGTTGGCTGCTCTCTCCCTGGCAAGCCTGGGCCCAGGGGGGTTCCTATTTTACAAGCAGTAGTTTTTGTTTTTAATTTTGTTTCCCATTTCATTTTAGCACACACAGCCTTAGGTCAGAAACCATTTTCGTCCCCTGGCCTCAAGTGACCAGACCTCATAGTTCAGCCCATGCTAGGGCTGCTTAATTAAGGTAGTTCCTCTGTGAAATCTATATGCTTATAACACATTATGCAATTTGCACTTTAAAATATTAATTCTTAGTATTCGTTTTTCCAACCTGCAGAAAAGAAGCTGACCTTCAGGGATTGGTCAAGAATTCTCATTTTGAACACTCCACGAGTTACTTCACCAGGTCAGTTAAAATACTTTATACTTTTAGTCAATAAACACTCACAGGGTGGACACCTGATACCTTCTACCTTTACAAATTACTTATTTACCCAGCTGTTATTTCTTTGGAAACATTTTGTAAATTGAGGAAACAGGCATTTGGACTATAGCAGTCAACTCAGAATCCCTTACTCTGAGCTCTAGATCTTAGTTAAATAACATTATCTGACAAATAGCTTTGGGAGAGACAAGGCTCTTAGGATAACTGTTAGTAATTTATACTTAGTTTTGAACTAGTTTAGTCTGATTATTTTCTTAACCCCAAGGGAAGATTAACTGAATGGAAATATTTTAAGAGAGGAGTAAAAGAAAAGCTAGTGATTATTCTACGAGGAGCAGAGCATTTGCTCTGCGTCTGGCTTTGACCTTGGACATTTGCATGGTCAAGGAAGGGGATGGGCTGAAAGAAGAAGGGCTCCTGGGAAAGGGATATGAAACCACAAAGACCATTTTAGAAGGAGCTTCCCTTGGTTTAGCTCAAGATGTTGGCTTCAATTAGGCAAAAGAATAAAGTGAAACTCCCTAACTCTGAAAGCCACTATGTATTATGAATGCCATAGTGGCATACTCAGTTTTCTCGGAGCGTAGTTCTCAAAGCTTTTCGTAGTCAGGTACATACTTACATGGAAATAAGTCTGCAGTATTGCATCTTTAGGATCCGGAGTTGTTTGCATCCCATCTTAAGGTCCTCAAGCATTTGATCAGTAAGCAGGATACAACCAGAAACATCCAAAATGTGCAGGTAATGGCATTTTGCCGATAACATCTCCATCCCTGTGTCAGTAATCTGAACACACAACCAAAGTAACGACTGATTATTCTGACAAACTCCATCCCAGGGAAGAATAGTATATTGGTCAGTTTGGGCTGCTCTAACAAAATACCATAGACTAGAGGCTGAGAAATCCAAGATGAAGTTGCCCACAAGTTCAGTGGTAAGGGCCCTATTCCTGGTTAGCAGATGACTGACTACCTTCTTGCTGTATCCTCACATGGCAGACAGGAAGCTCTCTTTTTAGGACACTAATTCCATCATGGGGGCTGTATCCTCATGACCTCAATCTAAACCTAATTACTTCCCAAAAACCTCACCTTCTAATACTGTCACATCAGGGATGAGGATTTGTGGATTTGGGGGATTGAGGGGGACACAAACGCTCAGTCCATAACAAATAGAATCAGAACCGTTGCAAATTCTCTTTTAACTAGCCTGTCACATGATGGGCCAATAAATCAGCGATTTAACCCTATTTCCAGAACAGTAAAATGTCTATTTCAAGGGGCACCAATATAATTTGTGATATTGCTGTTATTTTCATTTTAGAGTTATCTGGTTTGGATGGGAAACCTCATCAAAATTTCCTTAGCAATATCTGTCATACTGATATGAGCAACTTATGAAATGCTGCAGTAATGGGATTTGGCTTTAAAACTTGAAATTGACTCTAAGGCATCATCAATTTGGAAACATAGGTTTAATGACATCATATGTTACAAAGCTATTGTGTGTGTGTGTGTGTGTGTGTGTGTATGTATATATATATATATATATATATCAACTAAAGTTAACCTGCAGACAGGATCAGATTGCTATGAGAAGGGATCTGGACATCTTGGATGGTTTGTGTAGGGAGTACTATGTTCTGGAAGGACATAAGTAGGTGAGACAGATGTTTGTAGGCAGCAGGGGAAAGAAGAGCAGAAGCCACAGAGACTACATGAATCTCGCTCTGAGAATTTCGGCTAAAGTTTCCAACATCTTGAGAGTTTGCCCAGATGTTCTGCAGAAGTAATTCAACTCCATTTCTTAGATTATTTCACTTACTTAGGGTCTAGCTTTTGAATTTATAGCTGAGCTGAGACTTGCTGCAGAATCAAATAGATTACTCTCTCCAAAGGAATTTATTTCCAACTGGATTTAATTTCTTATTTTAAAAGTTTGAACATTGTAAAATACATGCCATGAGGCTTAGGTCTTGTTTTTAACATAAAGTTGAGAGAATTATGCAGAAAAACCCTTCAACTTGAAATGTATACTTTTTATGCTTGGAAAAATAGATGTTGTCATTGTCTAAGCATGCCCTGTTTTCAGAACATGCTCAGGACCAAGGTTTAACATTACAACTGATTCACACAAAAATACCTTCGGACATTCCTGCCATGCTGTGTGGCTCTCTGAGGATCTGATGTCATTGTCAGGGGAAAGCCCTCAGAATTATAGAGAAAAGAAAAGACAGTGAGATGATGGAAAACTCCGGGACAAGCAGAGCTCAGAGTGCTAGGTTTTACTGATACTAGAGGAACTGAAAAGGAGCCCAGTGTTTCCTATAGATGAGAATTTCAAATGTTCAGTGACTGAGATGACGTTGTTGGGACTTACAGAGGCTGGAAACCAGAGGTGGAGATGACTGGCCACGCTCTTAACTCCCTGATACAAAGTCTTGATCTCAGTCCTATTTAGCAGAAATTGTGTTACTTGAAATTGACTCATTGTAGTGCTGGGTAGGATGAGGTCATAGTACTACTCACTGACCTTGGAGATGAGCTAGTCGCAAGGAGAGGCTGGTCTTCCAGGAGATGGATAAGATGACCATTCAAAATTGACCCACTGGCTTTTGAGAAACCTAGCCTAGAATGATGAGCCAGACACTAATGTGTTTTATGGTCATCAAAAGCAGTGGAGCTAGAATATATTAGCCTGGACCACAGCCTTATGATTTCTGAGGCTGTGAGAAGTTCAGATTGACCCAAATTATGGTCACTGCATCATCTGAATAGGATACTTAACCTGCGTAGATGATAAAGCTACCCCCTTTTTCTCCCTTACATTGAGATTCTGAAATAATCTACTCCCCTTCCTTTTTCTCAGCCTAGATCTTTGATGTAGAATGATTCATTTAATAATATTTTGTTTGTGTAATAACCTCAGTTTCTAGGCTGCAAGACAGTATCCACTGCAAATTTATAGAAGGAATTCTGTCAGTGTCTCCTTACTTTCAAAAAGCAGACCAAAACAAAACAAACAAAAAATCCTCTGCCTCAATTTTTGTTCTCATTAGAGCCTTTCCACTTCTCATTCTCCTACTTTTCTCCTGTAGTAATAGAGACTTAAAGGTCCAGTCTCCATCTGTGCCTGCTTTACAGCCAGGGCAGTTCCCAGTGAGCCATGTGTTGCCCATGTGTCCATGTGTCTGTGTATGATAAAAGCAAGAACCCTGCGAGCTGTGACTGCTCAAGGAGGGTTCGTGGTTAGTGCTGCTAGTGTCCTGAGTTCCTTGACCCAGCTCATTTCTGGAACCAGATGGTGTTAACCAGAAAGACATCTGGTTTTCCTAGTTCTAAACAAGTACACTACTGAACAAAAAGAATTTTGCTGTGAAATTTTAGATTAATTTTGTTATGATTTACCCTGTCTTTCCCACCACTGCCTCCTCCTCATTGCAGCACAATTAACAATGGAGAAATCAAGAGGTTCTAACATCACTCGCTTAATCCACTCACCACCCAAACTAAACAACTCAGAAGCTGGATTTTTAGACTAACTAGAAGGCAGGGCATCTTCAGCATGCAGGTGATGCTTTAATAAAGAGAAGCCCATCAGTGTGCACAACAGAAGCGAACAAGGCTGTTAATAAACTTGCAGTTTCTGAGGACTTTTTTAGAAGATTTTTTAGCTTTCTCCCCTCCTAGTATTTGCTTCTAGGTTTTTCCTGTTAATTTGTTTTATCTTTCTCTTCCACTTTAGAGGCTTTTCTCTTGTATCTCGTCTCTTACATCCTTGACAATCTACTCATGATTAATAGTGGAGGGCTAAAAGCTGATTGGAAGGTCTGAGTGCATGGTGTGGGCCTTCTCTACTTTAAGTGTCAGTGGTCTTAGATGACTTATTTGTTGGAAAATCCCCAAATGTCGGCATTTTTCAGTCTTTCATCTTGGGCTAGTCAGAATCCCCAGAAAAGAGGGTCCCAATCTCCTGCCTGAAAGGAAAGATTTGACAGCCAAACTCTGAATCCTGTGTTGGAAAAGTGCTGAGTGTCTCTACATTCAGCATTTAGTCACTTAATTCCTATTTTCGCTTTTGTACCCAAGCTCTCAGTCATAATGATGTCTCCCAGCTCAGACCCTCCAGTTTTATTATCTGTAGAGCAGATAGTAGAGCAATTTTGCATGCCCCCGACAGGACATTTAGCAATATCTGGACACATCTTTTATTGTTACAACTGGAGGTGTGTTTGGAGGGTAGGTCTACTGACATATAAGGGACAGAGGGCAAGGATGCTGTTAAATATCCCACAGTGCACAGAACAGTCCCCCACTACAAAGAATGGTCTTGTCCAAAAGATCAATAATGCTAAGGTTGATAACTCTGGCTCTAGAAAGTCTATCTCAGATCTTCTGTTGAAAGTGGGGAGAGGCAGTTGCCCAGAGGAGATCTAGGGGTCTATCTCCTTCTCAAGAACTTTTAACCCAAACTTCTTTATATTAGCCACCCTCTTAACCCAGTTCCAGAGGTACACAGTATTTCTAAGTTTGAAGATTACAGTGTAAATACATTTTTCCCCCAGCTATCTCTGTTGTTGTCCTAGGATTCAAAGGTGTCTCTGGTCTGCTAAATTAGTCCATCTATTTTCAAGTTTCTAACATTTTCTTGCTCTTGTTTCCTCTCCTGTTTTCCCTATCAGTATGGGCCCTCACCCTTTTTCTGCAGTTTTGGTAGTGTTTCAAGAAGAAACAAAATTGTATGTGTATATTCAATCTGCCATATTAATCCAGAACCAGAAACCCCTATTTCTTGACATGGAGATATGTCCATAGTATAGCAAGTATATCATAGTATACCAAGAAAAGAAAGTACATTACAGTGTATTTTGGAAAGTATGATAGCAAGACAAAACATTAGCCTTTTGTAACTATTTTGAATCTTTGTACATAGAAAATAATTCTAGAATAAATATAAAGTGC